ACGATCAAATATTTGAGAAGAAATATACGTGTAAAAAAACGATCTATCGATATATATTCTAATCGAATTAAATTTATATTCAAATATATATATATATATATATATATATATATATATACGTATATATAAAAGATAAATCCATAAGATAGTAGGAATGGAAATGTTTATCTTATTAATTATATCTTAAGGTAGATCATGATTTGGAAGATCTCGGAGTTGGTCTAAAATCGAGTTACCCTTTCGTGCGTCAGAAAGGCGATCGATGGATTTGGTTGCCTCGGCAACGCGCGAATACCGCTGAAGGACCGTCGCAGAAGCAGAAATACGGATGGCGCGAGTATCCGTGTGCTGGAGGAAAAGGGGTTGTTAAAAGGTGGTGGAGAGAAACGAGGAGGAGAAAGAGACGTCGACAACGCGACAACGAGGACGGCGAGAGTACTGAGTGGAAGTGGTAATGGTGGTAGTAGTTGAGGTGAAGGAGGCAGAGGAGAGATTGGCTGATCGACTCTGATCAACGCTAACGATGCAGTGACAAAGTCAGCTACGGAAGAGAGAGGACGTCTCTTTTATGAGTCCTCGCGAATCCTTTCATCGCGCAGTCTCGTGTGTTAGTCCACGCGTTCTTCGACAAATAATCATCATCATCTTCGAAGCTGATTATCACAATTAATTTTAACGCACAACAACGTCGCATCAAAAAGACAGATTATCATTGTGCGATGCCACGGAGGCCAACGTCCCTCCGCAGAAGCAATTTAATATTAGTCGAATCATCAAAACGGAAGGGACCACTAAGCGAGACGTCAATGACGCTAGGATGTACACCGCAAACGGCGAGAGGAAAGAACGAAACTCGCCAGAAAATCTTTTCCTTCGAAGATGGGCCGACATGCCAAGACATCTCCAATTCAATCCCCACATACATACTGGCTACAGGCCTCTCATGACCGCCCGTCAATGTATTGGTAGTCTCTTTTATATCCACAATGAGACCGTCAACATCATGACGCATGGTGAGCTCTTCCTCTTTAGCTTCTATATATCTTATTAATTTTCGAGAAGACTTGCAAAATCGAGTTCTCTTTTTTTTATATATGCTTGCTTGCATTTATTTATCTTTTTACTTATCGCAATAAAAATAATTGTAATCTACCGAGTAAATGGTTGCATCGAGGAAATGACCGTGAATACGATCCCGAGGAATCAATTACATGCTTGGTAACTAAGCTACATTGATTTTGTCCTATATGTATCATATATTGATTTATAGATTTTTTTTTTTTTATATCGAAGTAACAGCACACGAACAATTTATTCGGACAAAGTGGACGATCTTAAACAGTAATTATATCTCGCCATCATATCACTTGACATTTCCGATAAATTAATGAATATCAGAAAAATTTTAATTTGATTAGTATTCAAGAAAGTTACCGATAAGTTATGTAAATATATGTATAATTGAAATAACAGATTTGGTAACCAGAGATAAGTGTTTATATTAACAATTAATTACAATAGCAAAAACGAAATAATCAATAAAATAATCGAACAAATTTTGTTTTTTGAGTCTGATAAATTAAAGACAAAAATATTATTACAAAAAAATGTATAATCAATTCTAGAAAGTAAGAACATGACGTAGTAGTCGCATCTAATCGGTCTTTGATTAAAACAATAAAAAAATAAAAAGGCTTATCATTCGACTTATAGAATATCATATAGATATATATAATTGGATCAAATATAAATTCAGGATTAAGGTCAAGGTGCACTACCAGTCGGGACTTCCGTATAATCATTTGTTCTTCTGTCAAGGACGCAATGCGGGGTGACGGTCAATCTCTCTCTCTCTCTCGATATAACAGTTATTAAGAATTATATATAATGAATAAATATTAATAAGTATAAGTACTAACTCGTTGTTAGATTATTACTGTTTCAAATAGAAGAAACGAAAATCGCTATTAATTAACGTATATTTGCACGAAACATTAAAATAGGTCAAATTTTGTTTTTTTTTTTTTCGTAACGAACGCTAAATAAAAAATATAAAAAAGATTGTCAAGCACCCCATTTTTTCTAGTTTTAATTAACAAGAAAATAAAATATTAAATTATTTTTATCTTCTAGGTTTCGCAATTCTATACATGTTGTGGACCATACCTCGTTGGCTTCCATGGCACACGCAAGGAATACTCGGAGCAGTATTATCTTGGTGTCACTTGATAGGGGCAGTTAGTCCGTGGATCGGATCCTTTATTTATCATGTTTTCATGAACGTTAATTATGACGAAGCCTTTTATAGATCGCTATTAAGACTCGACATGATCGGTATTTGGCTATGTCAAAGTTTCGGTAATTCTTGTCACGTTAGAATATACTATCTTCATCAAACTAATCGATTTATCCGATCTTTTTTTCTTCATTCTTTCAATTGGTTGGAAAAAGATAACAAAATATCTGTTTTTTATTTCAGGAGCTATTCCAATGATGGCAGCATCGGTTCATTGTTTGCCAGATAATCAATGGTACTGCTGCATTTTTATTTATTGCTTCCTCAGTATATGGGGTCTTTTAAAGGTAACGTATAAATGTTTGTTATATTAAATATGGACATGCGAATGTTAGAAAATTTCTACGTATTTGTTGGGACACATTTGTAGGCAATGCACGCGAGATCTCCGTGGGAAAGGAGACTATGTTTTGCACCTCCTTTCTTGATGAGAATGTTCATAATGACCTTGAGGTGTTTCGGTATCGGTGGTGGTTCACCAAAAGCTTTAACTCATATCGTCTTACAGGTATTTCTACGGATTTTTTTGTTACATATTTCAATCAATTTTTATCAAAACTGATAGTCACATGGATTTAGATAAAAAGAAAACAAAACTATTTGAATTTCGCGTGTGTACTATAGGATTTAATAGCAGTAATAGGTGCGATTGTTGGTGCTCTTCGTATTCCCGAGAAATGGATGCCAGGGAAATTAGATTTCATGTTGAATTCTCACAACCTGATGCACGTGTTGGTCGTTCTAGCAGTTTGTTCGATGCATGCCGCCACCGTTGAGGATCTAACTTGGATTGCTGATAAGTCTACGTGTAATGAAATAAGCGCATCTTCGATGATAAAAGAAGAATTGTGATCGATTCGCAATAACGTCATTTTGCGATAGTCTGTGATAAGATACAGCTGGTAAATTGTTCAATGCAATTGCGTAAGAGGTTCTAAGAATGCTGGAAATATTTCGTGATCGATACATATGTGGTTCAAAAAAGCAATATATATCTTAACGGAAGTTCATTTTAAATGCTATCTGATAGTATGTTCGAATCGTATGTTCAGGATTTTCGAAGTACAATTGCAAGTACAAAGATATATGTATACTATATATATTATGCCATATATAATATATATTGTTTCGATATCGATAGTGAATATGGTGACTTAGTGTAATATATATAAATATACAGATAACATATATATTTATATATATATTACACGAGCGTCCAAATTCATGTTAATATATGACTTCGAAGTCACGAATCACGCAGCAGGATTGCGGATTTCATAAGAAAGGGAATAAGAGTCTGTTAAGACGATATGTTTTCTAAATAACAAAAAGGCATTCTAAGCACATCAAAAATATGTTTATTGTATGATTGTAATTATCGATATCATCATCTACCAATGTCCAAGACGTTTCCAATTTCTCATTTCTATAAATTCTTACACTTTACTATACCAAATCCGATATTTAGACAAATAAAATTGTTCAAAAATATGGATGTTCATTACATTCCGTCGTCATCATCATTATCGTTATTATCATCGCTCAATTATATACAGTATTATAGTTTTTTTTTTTCTTTTTTCCACTTGAATTCTTTTTTCAATGAGCTTATTTTGAAACAATATTTAATAGCCATATATAGTAGGTGTAGACCAGATCAATCAAATATAGAATTTTCAACTTCTTTGACATCTATTAAATAGTTAGCTTTTGTGTATTTATAGAGCTAATTAATGTGTATTAATACTTTTGCGAGTTTCTTTTGACGTGCATGTACTTCGATTGAAAGTATATTGCAAGTTAGCTCACTTATAGTTTATCGTCATTTTTAGTGATCGCGTGATATACCAAAATTTCCAATCACAAATATATATACATATACATATATATGTATATATATTTAAACGTATCATACGATCGCTATTAAAATTCTAATAACTATTTTTTGCGATATAGACCATGTAATTTTGCGATTAAATTAAAATGATATAACACTTCATATATAAGCACCTACTTTTAAAAGCACATAAGGCACCATTTATGTGCTTAAAGCAATAATAAATTATAATGACAAGTTATACATAGATATATTAATATATACATATATATTAATATATATATATATATAGATTTAACGAAAAATAATAATATTTAAATCAATAACGATAAAGATTATTTTTACATTTACAATATTCAAATATTACGGAACTTTAAAAAACATACACCGCTAATTATTAAATAGTATAAGCAATCAGTGTAGTCTTGCTACTGCTTTTCTGTAACTTAAACTTTATGTTTCGAATATATTTAAGAAAATAATATTATATCACACGACAATATGTCATAGGACACAGTTTCCTTTTTAAAGATTTCAAAGATTTTAAATAGTAACATTTGACAATGAACGTTTGTAGAAGAAATTTGTAATATTTAAATTGATCTTTTGTTATTCTTATGTTATTTAAATTGTTATCAATATACTCTTCTTACCAAATTTGATTCTTGAGTACTTTTTATTACTGCAAAGGGGCCTCACTTTCCTGAATATAACTCTTAACTCTGCTAAACTTGAATGGCGGGTATCGTCCGTTAAAATTCATAGCGTTGTCGCATGATTCCTGTCCATTTCTATATACAGTAAATATATTATATCTTATCCATGACAGTTGTGAATTAATCTTTCTGTGATGATTTTGAATTTCAAACTCCTAAAAGATAACGTTATTTTTTTTCATTGCTTAACAATTATCGTTGCATATATTGCATAAGCTGTAAAAAAAAAAAAAAAAGACTTACAGCATGAAATGTTTGTTCTCCGCTATCGTGAACAACCTCTCTTCTCCTTCTACGACTAGTATTATTATTTCCCTTGGTATCCTGCCTTTTGAGTACCAACGTAACGAAATTACCACATAATCTATAGTGCCCTATCAATACTGAAGAATTTCGTGGGATGCGATTTTTTAAACTATTAACAGAGGTTTGTGCTTCATCCGTAGATGTTAGCATGAGGACTCTTCCTTCGGGAAAAAATCTATGTAATGAAAGAAATATTAAATGTGTGGAAGATATTTAATTATAATTCATAATGATTATATTAATAACTCACTACTAATTTACCTCAGGTACCTGAAGTATTCAACCAAATGCCAATGTTTATAAAATTGATCTTGAAAACTGTTTTCTCCCTGACGAATATAGCTTGTTTTACTGATATAACATCCATTATATCTTAATCTAGGCCGTTGTACATACATGTCCCTCCATGATTGATATTTTGGATCACAAGTTCCACAATTGACACCCCATACCCTAAAAATAAACAATGAATAAACAATAAAATAAAATGTTACATTTATCAATAATATCGTATAAAGATAAAACTATTTAGTATTATTTATTTGCCTGATACAAGCAAGTCTCCATATTTCTGGATCTCTTGCAGATATATAAAATCCACGACATACTTTAGAGAACATTTCAAGTGACCTCAAATCAAGTTCTAAAGAAACAACCCATCGTAAAATGTAAAGTATTATCTCCATTGGTAAAGCAGATATATGTGTTGTCTGAAAAAGAAAATAATATCAAAAAATAGACTATATATTCTTCATGATTTTATAAAAAAAAAAACTTGAAGTATTCTTAAACAAAATACTCACACTTTGTTCAAATTGTGGAAAGCAAACGCATTGATTGCGATTTATAATTTTAGATAATTTTACAAATAGATCTCTTTCATCTTTATCTTCTTCTTCTTCATCTTCGTCATTATTATCAGCGTTTTGTGCATCATTCTCTATACTCTCAAGATTATCATCCGATTCAAATCTTTCTCGTGTTTTAATTTTAGTAGAATCATACAAACGAAATTCAATATCAGGAACTAGTTGTACGGCACGCTTATAAAATTGAATTGCTTCATACAACTGTCCATTTTGTTCGTGTTCTACACCTTTAAGGAACAAATTCTTTGCCTGAAAACAATGATACAATTTAACTATTGACTTAAAAAATGTTACCGTTTTATTAAGCGTACATTTTACGTACTTTGTTTTCAACAGACTGCGAATCATCTTTGGATACTTCCGTACTGACAGACCAAGTAGAGTGTGTTTTAGATGTATCCCGTTTCGGTGATATCTCCAGTTCGCGTTGCCATTGCTCTCTGAAAGATGTTAATGCATCTTCAACGTTATGTTCCTTAGAAAAAGAAGATGCTTCTTGATCATCTCCACCCTCATCCGAATCATTACTCGTACCTCCGACGTTACTCTATATGAAAAAATAAAGAAAAATTAAACAATTAAAAAATGATATTATAAACAATGACAATGTCATACAAAATTATTAATTGTTCCAATGTGTAGGCATTTAAAAGATTTATAGGTTATGTTGTATTGTCACAACTGTAAATCTATGAAATATACTGTTACAAAATAACGTCAAGTGAAAAAAAGTATAAATCATTTTTACCATTGTCTATTCTTCTTCAATTTTTTAAATCTAACTTCAGCGCTTGAATTCTCGGTCAGAAAAGCGTACAACACAGCGAAAGCACAATTTTGCGAGAGCAACCGCCGCCATGGTTCTCGTCTGACTGCTACTACGTTTCCCTTTTTTTACGTATTTACCACATAAAGTCGTGTTATCCTTTACTTTCTCTTTCCATTTTCTCTCTCTCTCTCTCTCTTTCTCCAGCATGATGTAATTGCAGTGATTATTGAAAGTAGATATAGAAAGTTAAAGATGTATGCGTAATTAAACAATATAAAAAAAAGAAAACAAAATTGCATCATATTTAAATACTTTTAATATTTGATAAATTTGTATAATACACGTGTAGACGTATATTACTATGGCCTTTATTAAAAATGTAATCTTTAAATATACAATACGATACAATACAATTATTTATAACTTATACAGTTGAAAATCACATATTTTCATTAATTACTTCATCCAATAAGACATTATTTAACTGCTATTATTGTGCGAAGTTATTACAAAAATTGTCCTCCTATTCTATTACTCTATGAATTATTTTACACAATATCTTTTTTTTTTTTATTTCTTTTTTTTCTTTTTTTTGGGTTAACATTCCATTTCATTTTTATTTTATTTTATTTTATTTATTTATTTCAATTTATATAATATGAAACTCTTGTAATTACATATAACACTTGATTTGTTGAATTGACTATTTAGTTAAATTAATATTAATTGCATTCTAATGTCAATTATGGAAGAAATCTTCAATCGTCAATATTAACACTAATTCCAAACTGCATGAAATTTGAATGATTACTTATCATTATACGCATGATTAATATTGTCATACTATTACGAATGTAAAGTTTTTATCAAAATCCGTATTATTATTCTATTTAATAACGTATAGAAACGTTTTGATCATTTTTTTAACAAGATTCTTTTCTAACTAAATAGATGTATATCGAAAAAGTTTTATGCAGTTTGTATAATTTAAGAACTCGGACGATAAAAGTATTATTATTATTATTAGTATAATAATATGATAATCTCATTTTAAATTTGCTTTTAGCTATTATTTTATCATTAGATATTTAACCATAACCTTTATGTATTAATAAACTTTCTCAGCTAAATTTCTCGTGTAAAAATGCTAATCTAATGATCAACCTTATCCTATCAACTTTTTGCGTACAATTAATATTCAGCTTTGGCTTTGATAAACATCCAATTCATATTAGTACTGAATAAGAAATAAATATAAAACATATTTCACAAATTCAGCAATGTTTCTTGATAAAATAACACACAAATTAGATATATATTTAAATATATATAAATATGCATCTGTTGTGCGAAAATAATCTGTTATAAATATGTAAATTCTAATATGTATTTATCTAAATTCGTAAATAATAATAATAATAATGATAGTAATAATAGCAATGTTTCATAAATCTTATTACATAAAGCCCATGGCCTTCGCATATTCTGGAAATAAATATAAATTTGAGATTGCATGTTAATGTTTCACACATATTATATATATATATATATAATTTTTTAGTGATGTACATATATTACGTGTACATCATAATTAACTACATCTGTTTTGCATGTATCGTATTCTATTCATTTTTACATATTACTGTTTTAAATTCCAAAAATTGGTATATGAAAAATCTATAATAAATAACTTCACATATTTAACAAATAATATGTTACAATCTATCATTTACATTATGTTCAAATGTTACTATATTGTAAATGATATAACAAAGTATTGTGTTATACACTTTTTTAAATACTATGATAATCCATAGCCATTTTCTTTATCTAACATATAATATGGTTATAAGTTAAAACTGTCAAGTACAGTTTTTATTGACATTATAAAAATGAATTATGAAGCCTTCTATAATGCATATAAAACTTGTTAGATTACAAGATATGTAACAGTCAATTGAAAACATAGAAAGCATTATCAAAACATATTTATATGTATATAATATATATATAAGCACAATTGAATTTCTTGCTTCGAAAGTAAAGTAAGCAGCATCCTGGCCTAATATTATAAATCGTAACAAATCAACAGTTTGTATTAAATTAGATTCAATAATTTTTGTTTAACCAACTTAAGAAGCAACTAGTTATTATAATAAATTAATTACAGTTAAAATTTTTTGTAGATGCTTTAGTACTGTTCCCTTGCTTCTGAGAATCGCTATCCTCATCACTGCAGTCTTCGTCATGCGTATGTGTCACATTACGCGGTGTTTCAGGTCTTGCATGTGGAATTTGACTATTTAAGTGATCCACGTACACAGCTTTCTACAAAAAGATAAAACAATTTGAATCGTAGTAATCATTTTTTTTTTATAGGATCATATATAACAATTTAACGTTTTAATATTTACAGCAGTCGGCCGATTTTGTTCTTCTTCTTCTTCGGAAAGTTTAAATGTTCTTGATCGACTGATCATAGGTGTTTCCATTACAAATCTTTGTTCGTGAGCAACCGTACTTTCGTGTGGCATCTTAAAATAATAATAATAAAAATATAATTCGAATTTGTAATAATTATCAATTTTAATATTTAAATAAAACTATTGAATTAATACTTACCAGCATAGAAGGTGCTCTAAACATATACGAAAATGGATAGTAAATCAGATTAAGGAAAGTTGCGGCATACAAATCTGCATACCTCACTACTTGACTACTGAAAAATGTCTGCCTACTTCCACTACGAAACAGTGATCCCATCATACCGTATGCTAAATCCATTTTGTGCGTGACATCTCTTATGGAAGCACGAAGTTTCGATATATCGGGCTTTTCCTTTGTGCTACTATCTAAATTTCTAAAACGAACAAAATATGCACAACGTAAATAAATTTGAATACTTCAAAATATTATATTTTCTTTTTCTTTTATAAATCTTATTTTAGTATTAAAATAATAGTAAAAGAAAGAAAAACGATTTAATTATATTTACTTGTACATTTCCCCTAACATTACATCTAAATTTTGCAATTCGGCAAATAATTGACATTTGTCTGTCCACACATGTAATTCTTGAACTAATTCCGGCACTATCAAAAATGTTCTCCATCCTCGAATTTTTTTACTTTTTAAAATATCACCAAATATGTGATCCCCGACATATAATACATCTTTGCCTTTTGCACCTATTAATTCGGTAAAAACATCGCAAGATCCTCCCGAATAGACTTCACCTACAATATAAATAATATTTTAATAAATTGCGCATATATATTATTAGAATAAATTACATATATGACTTCATGATAGCAAACAAGATTCAACTTACCAGTATGAAGAGGTCCTTTATGTGTTCCAAGTTTTAAAGCACCAGTTTTAGTATCTACTTGTCTTAAGATAGTACCTTCTCCAAAAAACAATGGTTTCCTGGCGTCAACAACAATAGTGTCAAAATATGTTTTCCAATTTCGGTGTGGTTCGTCAGGCTGCAAAAAAAAAAATATATATATATATATATATACTAAAGTAATTAATAATTATACTCTCTCATTTTTCTATTATATTTTTATTAAATAAAAATGAATAACGTACCCTTGCACCGTGTGAAAAATCAAACAAATAGGTCATTATTTTATCGGTAAAAACATAATCGCTATTTGTCAATAAAAATAATTTAGCACCACTTTCTCTAATACGCGTAAGAAACATTGGTAATCGTTCATCTTTTTTGACATATTCGTCCAAGTTCTCTATAGTCTTACTTTTCAAATCGCCATGCAAGTGAATCCAATCAACTGCATTTCTTACATCTTGGAAAATGCTTTTAAAACTCATAGTAAGTTCACCTTCCTTAACACCTGTTTTTTCTCGAGTATATTGCGGTGAATTTGTGAAGAAATCTATTAGGCATGCTAAGAAATAAGTTTCCGGCAAATTAAAAAGCGTATTCAAAACGTATACTCTTGATTCGTCCAATTGTAAGAATTTATTTGGATATAATTCATAAACTTGTGAGCTAAAAGAGATCGTACAAAAAAACAAATGAATTAATTATAATAATAAAATCGTAATATTACTAATAATATTAAATTAGAGAATATATTATTTTGTACTCATTTGTACTCACTGTTTTAAAAATTCAAATCCGTGCACACAGACCAAAATATTTCCATAGGCATCAACCTTCAATAAGTTTCCATAAAGAGTATCAAACCATAGGCCTCGTACTGGGAAACTCGGATCATATTCAAACGCTTTTATTTCTCGTGGATATCCCAAAGATACTAAACGATCTTTTAAAAGATTAAATCCAAGCTGCTCGTATTGCGGGGATTTATATTCTACAAAAATATCAATTAATACGTGAGACTTGGATCGTTCGTTTTTTACTATTTTCAAAAATACTAACCCGCCAATGTATAATCCATATCAAATCCATAAAATTTAATATTTTCTAAATGGAGACTGCGGTTAACAAAGATCCTGTAACAAAGAAATTGATTTTTTCAAATTATTTCATTGTCCAACAAATCGTTGGCTATGTTTTCTTAACATTTTTGTTCTTTAATTTATTTTTTTTGTTTGTTAATATCATTCTCGTTAATCCATATTTATATTTCTGACCTATTTGCAGCAATTTTTCTAGCCATCTTGCTATCAGTCCCGAAACTCTCTACTCGATCAGATGTATCAGCTTCATGCATACTGAAGGTTGGATATCTAGTAAAATCAGAATCGCTCATTTGCCGCGGTGATTTGTCGTTGCTACTTATGCTCCCCATGTTTAAAAAGTATCGTTAAATATCTTGACAATTATTATTAAACACCGAATTAATTTTAAACGTGAACGAGAATGATATACGATTCGATTAAAAAGATTACATAATTAGAATTTGGCAACGATATATAAAGTATATGGTCAAACACAAATTGATGAAATTGATTGTTTGTTAAATTCATTGTGAACAAATATTTTCTATTATTTCTTTCATTTATTTTTCATAAACATCTATGATCGGTATCGCTATGAGACAATGCGTTTGTTTCTGATGATCTTACGAACGTAAATGAGATTTTCTTTAAAACGAATAATTCTAACGGGTGACTTACTCAGTTTGATTTTGTCGTCCATGATTAGGGATACCTGTTTGTGGTACCGAACACTTGCTTATACTTTCTAACCACATTTTTCACAAAATCATATCAATGTCGCATTCTTTCTGTTACATAAATCAATTTCATTCAATTATTATTAGATTTCTTATGGAAATTATTCTATCGAAAGATTTTTTGGTCAAAAATAGAAATACCACGCAACAAATAAATTAATTCATTTCAGAATATATATATATATATATATATAATCGTGAAATCTTTTTTCAAAATGAAACTTCAAAAACTTAATCTAAGATTCCCTTAGATTCTATCGAATTACCGATAAATAAAGCTCGATCAAATGCGAATAAAAAGAAAAAGAAACAAACTAGTAATTAATCTAGATATTCGATAACATTCAAACTGGTTGTTATAATGATCTTTTTTTTTACAATTAATAAACACATAACGTCGTAGATTTTTCGTGTCAATTGATCGACAAGAGAACAAGATGTAAATTAATTATATAATGAAACGCTTAGTCGTTAGAACTTATCATACTTTGGTTAGATCAAACAAAAAAAAAAGAAAAACAAAAAAAAGAAAAAGAACAAAAAAAAGAAAAGAAATCGTCAAGGTTGTTCCTCGGTACGCAAGACAGAAAATTAATCGATGAATTCGAAAATAATTTCTAATCGATTATGACGAAATTATGACGGTGATCTCATTTGAAAGATGATGAAGATTCAAACGAGGAAACGCGTTTTCGAATTTAAAAATGCTTTCCAATGAGATATTGTTTCGTTGAAATCTATTAAGAATTATCTTTGGTAAACGTTATTTCTTTTTTTTTATTTGCACAGAATACCGAACAACCTTAATTGAGAAAAAAGCAACAGAAGGAAGGTGCGTTCCTAAAGAAATTACAAGTTGGAAAAAGAGAAACGATGATCGAAAGCAGCAAAAAAAAAAATATATACTTTCTAAAACGTTTCCATAATTCAAGAGTATTATGATACTACATAAATCATCTGTATGAAAAACAAGAGAGATATTTTTGTTAACTAACGATAATTGTTCAAGTCAATGCGTTGTAGGTATTCATTGAAAAACAAAACAAATAAAAAAAAAGATCTTGAAAATACACGTTACAACTTATATAGACGAAGTAATGTTGCAAAGAGATTATATTCATTTTATAATATACTAGTAATAATAATTATTTTTCAATATTATACTACACACCATTTTATTTTCTAATTACCTTCCGAATTATTACTCGTCTTACAATTAGTTACGTGCAAATAGAGATAAGATCAATGTGAAGAGAAAAAAATATTCGCGAAATTGACTTTCCTTTTTAATCATTCTTATTAGATACATACCACGTGTTCGTGATGTTAAAGGAAATGTCAATTTATTCGTTTTTTTCCCCTACTATTTATCGTTTATAGCGATTACGATGAAAACGAATATAAAGAAATAAAAGAAAAAACTAGAAAAAGATAAGAGACAAATAAGGATAATTATTATAATAAATGTAAATATAAAACAATTAAAGACTTAAATCCAAACTGAATCCAATGAATAAATTTTGTGTAAACAATTTAAAAAAGAAATGATTCGCATAGAACGAACATTTGAAATTAAATAAATAGAAGAAGAATACACGTTAATAATAAATAAAAATAAATGTAAAAAGTTTATCTTCTACGTTACCACTAATCGATTGAAAGAAGGTAAATAAAAACGTTGACACAACAACAAAAAATGGAGAGAGAAATAGAGAGAGAGTTAAACGACGGATTCAGCAAAATTTTGGTGACTCGCGTGGGATTTAAAGACGCAACCGATCGAAGTGACACGCATAAGCGACTAAGGTGTATAGTATTTAATACGTCGTTGAAAAGTGAGGAAGAAAACGTGCACTCCGCTCGATGATCAAACCTCGACTGATCCCCACTGGGTTTGACGATACGGTTAATACACTACGATGAAACTTAATTCATCGTCTTCCGGATGTAAACTTTTCTTTTATTCTCTCTAATCAACAGAACATTTCATATATATATATATATATATATATATATATATATATATGTCTTCCCCACCCTATTTCATATCCTCCTTCTTTCATATACACGCATTTACACGTACATATTACGCATCGAAACCATATTAATTATTTCTTATCAAACTTGAATAATTTTTTAACTAATCGCAATTTTATTAATCATATAAATATATTATGAGAACGATCGAGACAAATTTTGTAAAATTATATTATAACGTTTGAGATTATATGCGGTTTAATGTCCTTCTTAATAGTCATTTTTTAAACGATAATAATCCTCGTTTTATATTTTATTGTTAATCGTTTAATATCGTTCCCTGAGGGTATAAGTAGAATAATTATAACATAAAAATTTCATCGAAATCATTTCATTTGGTTTATTCTCGTTTCGCATAAAATATATATATGTGAATAAATTATTATTATTACTTTTCATTTGACTTTTATACTATATTTATATCATTCAATTTAACGATATAAAACGATACTCAAACATTTGCAGGGAGCTTATAATATACAAATAGAAAAAAAAATATATATATATAATTTAACCAATGTTTACATTTTAAACGATTTATCGAAACTTTTCTCATATTCTCTCATATTCTATGGAATAAGTTGGATATAGCAATCAATTAATATAAATTTCCATTCATATGTTATGGAATATAATAATTTTTCTTTGGTGATTTCTCATTTATTTGTAAACCAACCGAATACATTTTATCCTATGCTTTATTCTAACGATATTAGTCGACCAATGTTACGTATAATTAAACTATTTTATATAAAATACATTTTTCCATTCGTTGTCTCTATCAAAAGAGAAGTTTGGAAAGTTTCCTATTGTAAAATGATAAATATGAAATTTTCAAGAAGTATCAATCGCGATTGATACGATTTTCGAAGAATAGTCTTTTTATTGTTGAGTTCAATAATTGTTCTAGAACTTTCATAAAACGATTATCGAACGTGAATCATTATAAATATAGTTACGTAGAATTTTAACGATATCATTACAAAACGACCGGTTGTACGAAAAATTATACTTTTCCGATAAACGATTCTCCGTTTTTCATTTTACGAATGGAAAGACGAAGAAAGGATAAAAAAAAGGAAAAAACTTGAAAAGCTAGAGTCATTAGCTTTTATAACACCTTTCTTCCGGTTAAAGATAATTTTTATAATGGCTTTTATTTCTGTGTGTTAGACCTTGAAAGACTCTTTAATTACTACGGTATGATTAGGGCACCTACGCCTTGAACGTGCTAGTTTTAGGTATCGACTTTTGAATAAGTCGGTCAAGCACTATACAAGAGGATGCAAGACTTGTTCGTGTCACGAACGGAAATTATACACTTTCGCTGCAACTCATGAAATTTATTTATCCTTCCTTCCATTTTATTTCTTTCTTCCTTTTTTTTCTACTTCTCTCTCTCTCTCTCTCTCTCTCTTTCTATCTCTATCAATTTATCTTTTTTTTTTTTCGCGAAATAACTCAATAATAACTCAATCATAAAATATTTTCACAGAGCGAGTCAATTTCTTAAGTAATTTGTAAAATTGATCACATTTCCTTGTTTTATTTTCTCTTACCTACGATTTTAAAACTTTGTTAACAATTTGACGAGACAAATGATTAAGTTAAAGTATCTCAAAAAAAAAAAAAAAAAAAAAAAAAAAGAAATATAAAATAAAAAAGGAATAAATTATTTGAGAAATTATCTACAAATTCTTAATTCATTCAGTATATGTATGATTAAACACAATCAAAGTAGTTGTTTGTTATATTGGTATAAACATGCGTGTCTTTCTCGATTATAACTAGTGTCGATCCTGACACGTCACGATTGCATGTTTCCTATTCTTAAGATAGTATAAAAAGGAAAAAAATAAAGCAAAGGAAAATTTTCAATTGATCTTTCTTATCTAATATTATGTTTTTAGATCGTGATAGGATAATTGTCTTATTTATTTGCATTTATTTTCTTAATGAATTTAATTATCAACTATAAAGCAAAGATAATTACTTTTCAAATATTATTACAATAGAAGATTACGATAACGGACAAAATATTAATCAAAGATTTGTTATATGTAAATGGGAAAAGATAAAAGGAAAATCCCATTGAAGAGTAGATACAATTCGATTTGATAGTTTAAAAGAAAATGAACTTTGAATTTAGCGTACTCGCATAATCTCCTATCTTTCTCGAAAATTTTTACACATATATTTATTTATATTTTTGATAGATGTTAGTGAAAACGAGAAACGATGATGAAATTAACAGCTACGGTTACGAATTGTAATCCGTTATCTGTTGGCCATGAATAATCTTGTTTACATATATATACGTCTTCTCACGAGGGAATATACGAGCTTTTCGAATCTTTTATTATTCGATCTAATACCGAAACGGTAAGTAAGTAGGTAGATGCAGAACAGTATTTTAAAGATCTTGGAATGAATGCAACATTTTCTAAATATAAAGTAGAAAATTTAATTGGAATGGATTGTCAATGTCATCGTGTATATTTCTTCACGAGTAAAAGCATAAACTGATTCACATCGTCTTTTTGCGTAGGCGGTCGAAGCTCTATCGAAAAGAAAAGAAAAGAAAAGAAAAGAGAAATTAAATGAATGAGAGAACAAATAAAGTGTCGTTGGACTTGAATCGTAAGTGTACTCAAGTACCGTGAGACTCAGAATCCTTTATGATTGCACATACGAGAATATAATCAGTCGCGATACTATTGAAAGGTCTTCCTAGAAAGGTGATTCATGTGACCAGTGGCACGTATACACGATCAATTTATAAATTTTTATAGAAATTTTGTAATATGAATTAAGTGAGAACGATTTAAATTGTATAGAAAATTAAGATTAATATTCATTCTCAATTAATAATAGACAAAATTGAATTTTATCATTGTCGTCGTCGTCGTCGTCATCTATGATTATGTCACATTTCGTTCTTATCAAAATGAACACAAAAAACTATTGATAATAAACTACATATCTCTCGTGGAAATATTTTCATGAGTGATATATAAAAAACTAACACACAAGAAAATAATAGAAATAGTTAGAATTATAAGACGCGACACGACGCGATTAAATTGAAACGTTTAAAACAGATATCGGGCCGGATATTTAATAGAAATAGTTTATCAAACATACGAAGTACATCCCAATGCATTTTCAAACAGTATTGTGACAGATTCTTGGCCGGATAACAAAATTCATCGGGGATATTAGCATAGAATTAAGTTATACGAATTTGGCTTAACTTTTTGATATTTCATCGCTTATTAGTCCTTTTAATCTTTTCCATCTGTTAAATACCCTTCGTGGATTTGTGAACGTGAACATGGCTTTACGCCATTTGGCGACAAAAAAAGGCACAGATTTGTAAACGTCATTAGTAATCTGAAATAAATCACGATGATCGACGAGCGTGTTACGCGCTATCAATGAAGTCGCGGGCTTTAAATTTTCATGCGATTATGCATTATGCAGTTCTCACAGTTAAACAGTGATTTGCATAAAGACGAGAACGACGACATTTCTGTTTTATTGATCTTCGAAATAATAAGTAATTCGAATATTCATTGTTATCCTATGATTATCGGACATTTGTTGTACGAAATCATGAACACAAATATAGAATTGTATTAAATTTATTTTTAATCGATTGATTTATGCATTGTTTCTTTCCTCCACCCCCCCTACCCCTTCCTATATACCACGTTCATCTCATTCGCGACCTTTTCATTTTCTTTCATTTCTTCTTCCACTTCATTCACAAAACTAACCGATTGACCTTTACCTGTGACCGAGTTCCCTCTTATCACTCCACGTCCCTTGCCTTCCTTCGTTATAACTTTCCAGATCATTCTCGCTACGATCGTTTCTGTTCAAGCCGACCGTGCGAGAAAAGTTAAAGCCAAGTATGTTGCTGTAAAGTGATTCCTCCGGGAAGATTGTCTCATCTTGGGGAAATCGTATCCTCCTGCCTACTCCGCAAAATTATTTTCATTTTTTAATGAACCTTCGTGTGTGCGCGCGTAAATATATTATAAAAATATATATTCTTTTTTCTTTTTTTTTTTTTTTTTTGTTCATATTCGTTTACTTTATCAAAATTTATTGACAAACTTTGTAACTGCATGAATAAATAAATATATGTATATATATATACATATATGTATAGATATACGTGAGTGGGTTGAAAAGTACTGAACCTAACGTAGAAATCATATTTTTGGCTCAATCAAACTGACTTTTATTTTTTGAAAAGATACAAGTGTTTTTTTTTTGTTATTGAAGCTCAAGACTTTTCAACCCGCCCCTTGTATAAACCAAAAATTAAAGCAAAAAATATAAAGATTAATAATAAGATTGAGAGAAGAATAGTCTCGATATTATTGAAAAATGAAATAATTACCAACACTATAGGGCGATTTAATTACTGAATCAATATTTTGTTGATTCATAATACAATATAATGAAAACAGATTATTCACTTTACGCGAATAGAACAACAATTAAAATAATCAAAATTAACAAATATGTACGGGGAGTATAAATTCTGAATTCTTTCTAATAATTAAAATTACACCGTATGCGATCTGATCGGTTAGGCAAACGACTGAATAATGAGTATCGATGATTGTGAATCTTCGATAACAAATTTTTCAAATGAACGAACAAACAAGAAGTGGGAGACTATAATAAATGAAAATAAATGATTACGATAAGCGTGGACACTTCGTGGATCGCCAAAGGTCATTCATGCGATGATAAGAAAGAAAGAAGGAGAAAACAAAAAAGAAATAAAAAATGACGAAGAAGAAAGAACGATGGAGTATTGCATATTTTAACAGCAGTGCTTATTTTCGTATATGCTAATTAAAATACACACGAGAAAGATAAAAATATGTATTCTCTTAAGATAAATGTAATTAAAATATATATATATATATACATATAAATAATTATTAATAAATAATTTATATACAACAATACAATCGAAACAAATAAATATGCGAATGGGTTGAAAAGTTGTAAGCCTAAACGAAAAATTATTTCATTTTTGGTTTTGTTTTTTAATAAAAGAGCACGTTCGACAGGAAAAATATTGATTCTCTTCTTCAGGCTCACAACTTTACAACTTACCCAAGTATGTACATAAATATATATATATACGTACACACTGTTTATTGCACAATTTCAGTTCTTGTAAGTAAACAAACGCGATTAGAGACCTCCCGCAGAATCCTATTTCATTCGACTTTATTTTGATTGAAATATTCGAAAAGCATCGAGCAAAGACTCGATTAATTTGTGTCAAGTTATCATTTGAAAACAATCTTATTATTCTTTGCCAGGAAAAAAACAATGACGATAATGCAATCGTCGTAACGATCGTACGTTTAATCGTGCGTGTTGCAAGTAAAGATAAAAAAAAAAAAAAGAAACGGAACGATGGGACTATAACAAAGGATGAACGAAAGATGATATAAGGAATATTTAATCAAATTTGTAAAAAATGAAAAAAACAAAAACGATGAAGGGGAGAAAGCAAGGAAAATAATATACCTAATCGAGAAGAATAATTTAATAAACTGGTTTTGGATAATAATGGTGTGGAAACTTATAAATTCGTTTTATCTCGGAGTACCGAGTAAGATCTTCGTTCTTTCAACGAGTTGCACGCTTTTCCAGAAATATCTTTGATCTGGGTTTCTACTTCTTGATTTAAAAGAGAGAGAGAGAGAGAAAAATGATAGAGATAGAAAGAGTACGAGTTATGAACGGAATCACACCGGATATCGTAAAGTATCGAATTGTACATAATCGATAAGAGCAATCGATTCTATCAAAAAATCAGATTGCTCTATTATAAGCATTTCAATAGATACTAGTAAAAATACATCAATAAATATATCCGATAAATCGGTATTATGTTGAGTTTAAAAATGAAATAATTTGATGATTTAAAAAAAGGAAAGAAAAAATATTTTTGCTTAACGTTCGTTATCAACCACCAATCGTGCTTAACGATACGACCATGACCTTGCTTCTTTGTTTTATTGTAGAGTTTTTTTCGTATTGCGCGATGTGTATTGTATGGTGTGTGTGTGTGCGTGCACGCGCGCGCACGTGCATTTAAAATCAAAGAAACACAGTGACGCGTACGCACGCGCGTGCGCGCGCAGCGTGCACGACCGAATGTTATACAAGAAAGGTGCAATGCAGCAAATTTGGATCACGTTGCGACATACTTTCCTTATTCTTTCGCAATATGTTCTTCCTACATTATTATCGACGATACGAAAAGATAAATTATCACATAAAGTTGAACGAAACTCGTGTATATACGTATTCAATAATCCCATTATAAATGAAATAATATTTTTATTAACACGTCGTATCGCATTTGTGTCAGGGAAATAGAATATGAGAGAAAAATAAGAAGAAAAAACGTCATGTTTTTGTCGCGTTATTAGATAGATGCGATTAGATGACATTTGCTAATAAAATTCTTTACTAACCTTTGACTGGCTTGCCGGTACCATTTCTTATGACCCGAGGGGTCATTATCATTTTGTGGTGTCGATGGGAATACGTTTCCATGATCACCATGCGAATTACAGTTCTCCAGTTCCATGATCAACTGTAAAAGTGTTAAGAACCAAAAATAGAATCAACGTGCGCGTTGACTAATTTTTTACCTTTTCCCAATTTAGATTGTTTCTTTTTTATCAATGCGCGATATTTTCTATTTGATAAACGACGATGATTTATTCTGCGTGTTTTAGGATTAATTGCTGTCAATATTATTTAAAAGAATTATCTTAGGCGAGTGTTGATTATATAAAAATACAAATTATTCTGCAATAAGACCCGGAAGAGTGAGGTTAACTAAACTTTTATAAATGCTGCAAGATTTCGCAATGCACATATATCATTCAACGCATTGTTGTTCTTCTTTTCCTTTTAACATTTTTTCTTTTCCTTATCTTTTTATGAAAATGTGAATATAATTATAATCGTAATTATTTTATTTAGAAATAATTCTCTCATTTTTAATAGTTGACAAGAATAAAGAATTTGATATTTGCATAGATAAGACCGATTAGAAGATCAGTTACTGGACATCTTTATCGGATGCAGAGACAAAGTAGTGGGATTCGATCGATTATTAAAAACCTGGCACGCATTTCCTCTTTCTGATTAAACCAAATTTGAAAAAAAAAACATTTTTCTTTTACATAGTATTTTAATATCATTAACAGAATATTCAATCTTAAATAAACATTTATGAAAATGTCTACGTGTTCAAAGAAATGCGTATGAATCATATGTTACGATGATGCAAAAAAAAAAAAGAAAAAATTTTGAATTGAAATGAATCGATAATTAATTAATAAAAAAAAAATAAATAAGAAAAATAGATGATAATTCATTATATGAAAAAGAAAATGAAGAAGTGTATACGATTATCTCTAATCTTTGTGTCTGTTTCGCATAAAGCGTGAAAATAGTGAACAGCCATTCCTTTAGTCTCGGGATAAATAGAATATAAATTCGTACCTAGTGATATCGCTGGTTGGATGCAGTTTGATTTGAGATTAAAACACAGAACGATTTAAAATGTTCTTTTTGGCAACTTCGAAATAGAATTTATCGGGCGCCAACCTGTCATCGATAGTTATGTATATCGAGAAAACAACTGACGACCACGCACCGTGCAGATTTGCCGCAGACTGAGGTCAATTCACTGAACTGTGTTGACCTCGACGCAGGTATGCCAATCGAACAGCTTCAAATGTTACTAAGTCTCTGATTCGTACTCTCTGAATTTGACGTGCGCGCCAAATCTTATCATCCTCCTTTTTCAAGCAATAAAATCAAAGGGAAGACGCATATTTCTTAGCACAAATCAAATTCATTTGGACGATGAAACAATCGATTCTTACGTCTATTTATTGACCAATAAGAGTACAAGAGTATAGCCTAGATAAATGTTTATTTGATTTAAATCTAAATGAATAAATTCTTATTAATATGATTTATATAAACAACCACAATTAATATTTCAACAATATAATCGATTAATCGAATCGATTTGTCAATCTTTTTATAAAATGCATTATCCTTATATTTAATGAAAGTATATATGTATATTATAAAAGTCGATCGATAAATAATACCGTAGCGAGTTTTAAGTAAGAAATTAATATGACCAACACAGTGTACTGGTTATGTACATACATTTGCGTGGATAAAAAGAAAGAATTTCATATTTACGCGCGCAATTTGTTTCGGCATATGCGCGCTATTTTTTGTCTATCTTATCATCGATCTCGTAATAGAATTCACAAAATAGAAACGAGTAATAGATGATGACGGAGATACAACAAAGGTCGAATTAATTGTACTAACCTAAGGAAGTAATACGACGCGTTTGAACATTGGGGAAAAATAAAAAAAAAAGGGAAAGGAAAACGAATATAACAGAGAAAGGTAGGAAAGAATATAAAACATACTTGAGATGGTTAACTCGATCGATGAAGATCGAACTTGACTCGCATTTCTCATTCTTCGATTCGATGGACGAAATGAAAAAATTGTAAAATAATAATGGTACAGCGATATTTATATTAATGATGAATAAAATAATGAAAGCACCTGCCGGATGGTCGATTCACGGATAACACGCGGATCACTTTGACCCGCCTTGGCGACGGACGACGAATTCGTCCGTAGCGCCCTGTGTAAACCGTCCGTCCGCCGTTGCCCGAACGACAAAATCCGAGGTAAAAGCCCGTACTTCGCTATTTTCGCGAACTTCAACACGTCCACAGTACTCATCGTGTTGAGCACGATTGGAACGTAGACTTCGTCTATCCCGTGCACGAGCAATTACGTTGCATCCTTTCGTTGTTGCGTAAAATTAATCCGATTTAGGTGACCTCGACGTAACATAACCTACAAATCCGTCTTGAACTACCGCCTTCTGGTTCTCCTTCTTCTGACAACTCTATCGTGCTTTTACGTAGACCAATTCTATATCGACATTTTTAATTCCTTAATCTCATCGATATTCTTTCTTTCGAAAATTTATCTCGGTGTCATATGATTTATTATTATCGGAATATGTTTTCTATCGAAAGTGAAAACCTGATGTGTAATAACTTGGACCCTTTTAGGCTCACGGCCCAACCCACTTTTTAATCGGTGATTTGTTTTATGTCGATTTTTTAACTCCTTCAACATATTTTGATAAATGCATTTAACGAACATTTTTTATGACAATTTGATCATTGCAATTTTTAAGTTCTTATGATTTCTTTATTTTTCTACTCTATTATTTTTTTGGTTTTCATCATGATTTGATACTCTTTATCCTAGAGGAACCCAATTAGTGTGGTGACATAACATAACCTTCCTCTACATGTGAAATAAAAGTGTATGTATGTTTCTGTGTGTTTGTATGAGAGAGAGGGAGAGCATTTGTTAAAAAATATTATTTTTATTTATTCTTCCTCATCAAAAAGACATTATGATTTTGTAATATATTCACGTGTATGTGTGTGTGTGTGTGTGTTATCTCATATTTTATCGTATGTTTTATCGTCATATTTTATCCAACCTTGTACTACACATTTATCATTATTATTACTGACATATGATGCGCTCTATTTTATTCATCATACTTTTCATCACTTAATTACTATCACTTTCATTCATATTTACATAAGTATTCAGTTTTGTACTATGCAAATGTTCACTTTGTTAAGTTGATCTGTTACTTCTATTTTGTTACCAATTTTTGAATAAATTTCTTTTTAATGCATCACATTTGTATTTTTTTTTGTATTAATCATCTTCTTTATTTATTCGTATAGTATATAAGACATCTTGTTTATATTTTTTGATATCTTTTTATATTAGGAATATGTTTTTTACCATAATTCTAAGATCTAACATTACGCTACAGTAACGGATACCATATTATGTTAAGAAATTTTATTATTTGTTCATTGTCATTGAAACATTATTTTTTTAAATAAACATTATGTCTACTTTTATATATTTCCTTTTATTTTAGATATTAGTTTAATTAATTATCTTTATTCGTTTCATATTATCATTCGACAGAGATTTGTTTCAAGTTAAGCGAAATTATGTTGCATTATAAATATAGTTTTTCTGTGCACATCTTTAAACTCTTGTAAATATTATAAATGTTAAATACACGATATTTGTTGATCTTATTGTAAGATAATAGTTATAAGTATAAAATATTATTCTTTATAATATATTATTAATAATTCATTGCAATTTCTTTTAATAATTATCAAGCAATGGTGTACTAAGACATCGATCAACATAATATTTGCAAAGTAAGAATATTAAGCCAGTCTGAAAAATGAATAATCAAGCATTCAGTTTGGCAGAAAAGCTTATACCTTCTACGTATGTGCAACAAGGTTTAAATGCAAAGAAAATTCGCGAAAACCATATAAGACATTTTATCGAACATGTATGTATTATTTACAAACGTACCAAATATTATATCTATAATTATATATTTCTATTAATAAATAAAAATATATGTCATATATATTTTTATCAAACGTAGAGACAATGGCCAGAAGAGGGATGGGACGACGCAACAATAGAAGCTTTTCTTTCCGATCTATCCCAAATGGATAGCAACAATTTTCCTTCTAACTGTAGCGTTGGAGAACGTGAAGCAAGAATTGCATCGAATATTGTAGCAAGGAGACATTTTCGCATGGGACACGGTATTGGTAGATCGGGTGATTTAGAAGAAGTACAACCGAAAGCTGCTGGTAGTAGTCTCATGTATAAATTAACAAATGCTCTGGTATTGGAAGTATTGCGCTATATGGGTAAGAAAAAGAAATCGAATATGTTGAAAATTGAATTAAACATTTATACATATATTTATGTATATTCGTAGGTGTAAAAAGTATAGCTGGTTGTTTCTTATCTCCTATGGCTACAGGCATGAGTTTAGTATTATGTATGCTGACTCTCAAACAAGATAGACCACGAGCAAAATATGTTTTATGGCCTCGAATTGATCAAAAATCAAGTTTCAAATCTATAATTACAGCAGGTTTAGAACCTATAGTCATTGAAATGCAAATAGTTGGTGACGAATTAAAAACAGATATACAAATGCTCGAATCTCAAATGTTAGCTCTTGGAGAAAGTGTAGTTTGTGTATTAACAACAACAAGTTGCTTTGCACCTAGAGCATGTGACTCGGTTGATTCAATTGCAATTTTGTGTACACAATATAATATACCTCATTTAGTGAATAATGCTTATGGGTAAGAATTTAGTGAATGTTCTTTTAACAACTTTTAAATATTTCTGATACAGGTAAGAATGAGGTATATTTGACTATTTTGTTAAAAGATTACAGAGTTCAAGATGTATGCGTCTCATACAAGAGGCATCTCGTAAGGGTCGCGTTGATGCATTTGTTCAAAGCACTGATAAAAATTTTCTTGTACCCGTGGGTGGTGCAATAATTGGATCATTTGATAAAAACATTTTGAGTCGTATATCAAAAATGTATCCAGGTCGTGCAAGTGCAAGTTCTACTATGGATGTTATGATAACATTATTAAGCCTTGGCATAGCAGGTTACAAGCAACTTATTACTGAACGTAAAGAAATGTATGCCTATCTTAAAGAGGAACTTGGAAAAATAGCAGCGAAACATGGAGAACGTTTATTAGATACGAAAGGAAATCCAATATCAATGGGAATGACATTACAGTGTTTAAGTCATCAACATGATAATAAGCAAGTTACAACCCTAGGCTCGATGTTGTTCCTTCGTAATGTTAGTGGTACTAGAGTAATCACTACGACAGACTCTAAGCACATTATTTCGCACAAGTTTGAAGGTTGTTATCATTATTATTATCACCTTTTTTATTTGAGTTTGAACACCTTTTCATATTGTAAAATCGTATTTTTAGGGTGGGGTGCTCATAACAGTAATTATCCAGTACCATATATAACTGTTGCTGCAGCTTTAGGTATGAAAAGATCAGACGTTGAAGCATTTATACAGAGACTAGATAAAGCATTAACAAAAGTACGAAGACGTTCTGCTTCTGTAACTCCGACAGCATCACTTGCTGGATCTAGTATTAATGGAGATGCTGGTGGTGCTGGTGGACCAGGTGAATCCAGCACAGCTTCAACCAGCCGTGCAAGTAGTAAAGATAGTTTGCGAAAATGAACCGTAATCAACGCAACTGGCCAGTCAAATCAGCACATTAATATTAATTTGTAAGTAAATTATTACTTGCAATTAATATATTTTTCATATCTCTGCATAATTACTTGTATCAAAACAACAATCTTAAATTTGATTATAAAAATGAAATATATTTTTACATAATATTATTTAAAATATACACATATTTAAACAGAGAATATTTTTTTCACATTGTAATATTTCTTTTTACATATCAACTAATAATTTTTATTTCTTTATGAAAAAATTATCTGAAATAATAAAATTTTACTCTACTATTTTTATATATTATAATAAAAAATGACACACATGTTTTTAAAACAAATTAATAAGATACAGTACATGTTGCAGAGACATGAAATAAAATAATGAACTGACTTGTCTGTCCACTTGCGTTGTGATATTGTCAATTCCTATCTTAAGAGACAAGGCAATTGGATGTTGAGTAAATGATATTAAATGAATGTCAAAAGCTAATGAAAAGAAATCGAGAAATAATAAAATAACGTTGTCTTAGTTATTATTATACAAGACATTCAATTATAATGTGCGCTGGTCGCAAATATAATTATGAATTGTTTACAAATTTATATTTTTTATGAAACAAAAATATAAAAATTGTTCTGGTGCATTTTAATTCTAACTTATCACGTTGTAAGATATAATATTAAATTTTACACTATATGTTATTACACAAGGAGACAATTATTTCTCGTTAAATATTGTTTGAATGATTTAAAAAATAATTCTATATTTAAAGAGAACTTACATTAATATAAACGTTTCATACTTTTGTTTTCTTATGAAAAATTGTATGTCAAAGGAAATAGTGAGACTATATGTTATTGATTGTAAAAAGAAACTTTAATGATAATGTAATTGTCTGATTGTAACAATACGGTAATAATACAAGTTTGAAGCATGATACATGAAAGTTGAGCACATGCTATAAACAGAAAAAGAAAAATCATAAATAATTTTTATGAATATCAGTGATATAAGTGACAGCATATTTCTTGTTTAAAATGTTCGAATAATTATCAATGTATTACTTTAAATATTTATTTCAGGGTTTAGTAAAAATGTAATCTTATCATTTCATGAATCATGCAGTATTTTTTAATATATCTCTTTAAAATCTAAATTATTATTAGTATAACAGTATAATTGACAATTTTAATTTTCCTCAAATGGATATATATTCTATTAGAAAATCAATTACACATTGTGGTTTAATTCGATACGAATTATGCTTTGTTAAATAAGGTAGTAAGTATAATAATTAATGTATATTATAAAACTGCAAGTACCACATGTTCCCATCTAACATCAGCTAAGAAAAGTAGAAAAAGAATTATTAATAGTATAAATATACTGCAAATTAAAATTAAATAATACATAATACCATAAAACTGAACACAATCAATCATTTTTTCGATATATATACACATATATATAAATATATATATGTATAAGAAATATAAATATATCTATACAAATGTGCAAAGTAATTTCACAGTAAACTACAAGTACGACAGCTTGATATTAAAATCATATAATATTAAGTAGTAATAATTTGAGGAAGCATACATTTCAAATATTCAGTCGAGTCTAATAATAACATCAATAAAGAATTAATGCTATGAAAATAGAAACAAATATATTTCTTCCAATTTCTTTTTCATTTTTTAAATTTTCTTTTAATAGATCATCTAAATAGAAAATTGAATTTATAATTATATGAATTATTAATTAGAAAAATAATGGTCTTAATGTAGAGTAATGGGAATACGTTTAGCATAAAAACAATATGCATTAGCAATTACACTAGCCAATATTTAATCGAATGTTTCTTTACACCTATTAATTTTTTACAACATTCACATGAACATATTTCTAGTTGGTTTTTTTTTACTTCGAAGGTACAGATATTACACATGTTAGCATTCAATCGAACTCATTAACGACTACAAAATTTGCTATTTATTTATATTGCATTACCTAATATACTGTTAATATTACTAACCGAATTTATAAAATTATATTCATTATTGATACCAATTCTGTCTACAATAAATAAAATGAAACATTTTCTACGCATACTGCTTGTTTACGGATTATACAGCAGTTTTCATCGGCCTTCTTCAAAATGTATTTTTATCAGCTGTAATAGACGAAGTAATATTTAACACCGAAAAAATAAAAGTGTTAGTCGAGTTATTATTTTGTTCATTAAAATAAGTTGGACGCAAGGGAAACATTTAAAATATATTTCATTATATGCTTTGCTTAATCTCCTTTTATAAATATTTATTTAATTATTTAATTATTTAGATTTAATGTAGTTCTTGAGAAAATAATTAAGAGATAGAATTGTTATTATAAGCAAATCATATGTGCTATGATAAGCTATGTATATATGTGTATGTGTATATGTGACTACACACATATATATTTACATATATACATATAGATATATTAATGTTAAAGTAATATATTTACTATTGCAACTGATACTTAATTATTATAAAAAAAGTACACTAGTATAAATGGTATTATCATACCAATGACTTTCCTATGTAAATAAAATATAATTTTTTTGTTCTTATTTCTTTCTCTGATTATAAAGTCATTAATTGTTATAAAAAAGGCACCTAATACATATATATATTTATGCATATATAGTGAATTACATGCCTTTTACAGAAACAACGATTTTATGGACCTAATATTCTACTACACTTAAGTTTTCTATGTCTAAAAAAAGTTACATTTGTTATATCATTGTTAATTATAATGCGTCATTATATTGTTGTTCAGCATAAAAAACATATGTAAGTTATATTGTATGATCTTAAATTTATTACAATGAATGCATACATTCGAAGAATTGTTTATCATTATTCAAAATGTTATAATAAAAAACTATTATTGGCAGACTGATTTTAATGAGTAAAATCTCATTTAAAAGATGAGAAGGGGTTTAAATATTTTATCCCTTTTTTTCTAATTAAGAAATAAATTTGATTATGCATAAACTATTCTCATAAAAAAAACTTTTCTTCATGAATATTTTTTTCAGTTCGCGATGATATTTTAATTTTAGAACGTGGCTTCATGAAAATTGTACGTTTAGCTTTCAATTAGTATATAGGAGGAGGTGATTGTTAATTAGAAACAATTGTTAATTACCTTTAATTAATTAGAATGATCCGGAACTACGTCTCGTCGACTAGAACGGATAAACCTTCTGTTTATTATAAAGAATTTAAACTGCTCGTGCGACGTATGCGCATTGCTTTATTTTCCATATATGGCAACATATACAAACCTCTGATTGACTTTAGTAGTTATCGAAACAGTCGTGTTTTGAATTTCGCCCGATTAGCAACAAAACTTTATCCTTTCCCCCTTACCGTCTAGGTAAGATTAAATATTTTATATTTTCCATTATTTAAACAATTTAATATATATGTAGAGTATAATTAACTAATATTTAAACAATAGTATATTTGTTTATATAATTTATTGCTCGTAGCATACGTTTATTGTGAAATAATTCAAATTTATATTTCAGTAAAAGTTAACCTTAAATTTGTTGTTGTTGAGAGATGTTAATTAAAAAAGTTTGTATCTGAAAAATATGTTCATCTTTAATACATTACTTACTGGCTTTCAATTAATATACTTTACATCGCCAGTGTTTGTTTATTGACCGGTATCCTAAAAATAAATTTTTCATTGATTTTAGTTAATGTCGATTAAAAAATCTGCTCTACATAAATGTTATTGTTTAACTTTTATTAGTCTTTTTTTTCTTTAACATTTTATTTATTTCATTATTATTTGAATAGCTAAAAAATGACAGAAACAACGAGACAAAGTTTATTAGATGTGGTGGAAGGAAATTTAAAGACTATTAATTATGTAAATATGTGATTATATTTTTTACTTTATCTTTATCTTTTTATATGTAGAAACAAAATTTGATAACATAGAATTGCGTAATTTTCAGAGTACGTACATAACAAGATTTTTATATTTTGGAGAATATTTTCACAGTTCGGATGAATTGCAAGAGGTTGGTTTTAAAAATTACATTCAGTATATATTAATTTTAATGGTCGTTGAATTTTTGACACAATTGTACATTGTATTCTTTAGGTAATGGGGAAGATTGTTAATGCACTGAACGGGAATTCGAATGAAAATTTAATAACCGGTTTGTTGCTCGTTTATCCAAGATTTTACATGCATCTGTTAGAGGTATGTTTTGACATATTCTACAAAGAAAATAATAATAATCTTAATCGTGTAATAAGTTTAATGCGTTAAGATTATTATATCAAAAATTGAGAAAGGAGAAATGAGATTAAATTAGATGGGATCAAGCGAGATGAGATGAGATAATAAGAAAGGAGAGAGAGAGAGAGAAAGAGAGAGAGAAGGAGATAACAAAAGACAAGCACTGATATAACTTAATTCTATAAATTCGGATAGGCGCCCGAAGACATCATTTACATGCATTTCAAGGATATTTATGAGAATAAGAACAAAGAGGGAAAATTTGGGAAAGCTATTATTTTACCTACGTATCACCACGTTTATCACGTGAGTCTTGAACGTAAAAATAACAGCAAACGAAACGTTTTGATTTTTAACGTAATTTACATTTGTAAAAATCAGATACATTAATTTATATTCGTAGAGATTCTTTATTGATTGGTATCACGTTTACACGCTAGCACCTAGTTTATTGGGAAAGATAGAGAATCAAACATTAGAGGAAATTAAAAAACAAATTTCTAATTGCTGTATCAAATTTTATCATCTGTGCGAATACATATCAAGAGCAATGCGCGAAAATGTGAATAAAAAAATAGACATATATATATATATATATATTTATATTTTAATGTAAAGAAAAAAAAAAGAAAGAAAAAATGAAGTACATTCTTCTTCTTTAATAGGCGGACGAGGTTGCTGGACTTTTATTTAATTTAAACGAAAAAATACCTCAATATCTTCCGGAGATGACCGTATTGGAATTTTTGTTAAATGTAAAATCAAACGTATTGACGACAGTCGAGGATTATTTGCGAATTTACAGGGACGTACCGTTCATACAATTTTACGGAGGTAATTGTATTTCCATTTATTTCCATCTTTTATTCCATTTTAATTTTACTCGCAATTGGATTCGAAGAGGATTTGATAAATTCCGACATTGAATAAAAACGATTATTTATTAGAGAATATTTACAATATCAAAAAAACGATTTTTTTTCTTCTTTTTTTTTTTATGAGGATACACAAAGTAGGTATTGGATGATACTAAACTAAGTATACATATACATATACAAATTTCAGTGTTTTTTTTTTCCTGGCAGAAAGCAACCACCGGTCAAGCAGTACGGTTCGACGATATTCTTATTCTAACGAATCTCGTTATTTCTTATAAGAAATGAAATCATGGATCGTATAGTAGTTTGACAAATATGATCGTGCTCTTTTTTTTAGTGCTAATGATCTGCACTATTTTTTTTCGAACTTGGTCGTTCGCGATAGAAAAAAAAGCACTTGGACTCGCGTCTCAACACGTTCTATTTAACGTACGTTAGTTAATGGTTGGATTAAATTACGTTATTATCTTCCGTTGATTTTTTCCTCTTCTTCTCTTTTTTTCTTTTTTTTTCTTAATATTTGGTTATCAGGAAAAATGTGAGAGAATAAGTTATCTGTATTATGTTTTTTCTTTCGCCATGTTGAAGATAAAAGTCTGGATTGCATTTTACAAACGGGATACACGATACCTCGATAAATTGTTCGCTCTTACTAAGAGCGTATATATGTATATGTATATATACATATAGTATATAAGTACGTGTATACTCTTTATACCGTTACGTTGAAATTGTGAAATATTTTCCTACGGAGTGTGAACATTTTCCAAGGTATTGTATTTCCAGCAAGTAACAATAGTATGTCAACGATACCGCAACATACCGGCTTTCCCATTCGAAATGAAACTTTCATAATATAAGTAAATACATATCGCATATACATGTGCGTTACAATGTCTCTTTCCGTAATGCTTACGCAACTTAATGCAAAGTTCAAACTTACGCAACTGATGTAATTATCATTTTCCTTGAGGTATTAGTAGTAGAGGATCTAATGAACGAAACTCACGCGGATAATAGTACCTTACGTTTTCACTTTGAAACTACGCGTTGCGCTCACCTTTAAGTAATTTCATTGTGTTACGTTAGAACTCAATTTCCAAACGGTATATCCTAACTTAGTTGTACATTCGGAACTTTGGGTTCGTCGCTGATGTACCTATAGACATGTATACGCGTTGGTATATACGTATGTATATGCGTATGTCACTGTATTATGTATATTTATTATGTGTCTATGTATGTATGTATGTATGTATGTATACATGTATGTATCTGTATTCGTATTAATAGTCGACTGAATTCTATACGCAAGGACTTCTTTGCAATTCTAATAAGTATATTAGTTTGCATCTTTGGTAGATATGCATCAAATGGCAAGAGTCTCGAAGAAATGTAATTTTATCAAAATTGATACGATCAATTTACAGATACAATTTGGCCACCTCCGTCGGATAATATTCCACGTTACGACGCGTTGGAAAAGTGCGTCGATCGATTGACTGACGAAGATGATGTAATAAGGAAGAAAATATAGATATCTTGATAATTGTAAGATTAAAACGAAAATTATTCAACTTGTTCGAGATCTCATCGAACGTGTATTTTATTTCTCTTTTATATTGATTTTCATCATGACAAGAATCGTAATTAGAATTTTTGTTCCAATCTTGTGAGATCTGTGTGTGTGTGTATGTAATGATGTAGGTACGTATGTGTGGATGTAAACAACATTCATGAATTAAAAATAAAGTTCGCGTATTTTTTGTAATAATCGTATCGTCAACGTCATTTACGATTGATCTCGAACGTGCAACGGACAAAATTCGTCCATTTTCTTTTCTTTTTTGTGTGTTTTTTTTTTTATTGGTGCGTATCTCTGTTTCTTTTTCTCTAATTTCGTGTAAAATTTTCTTACAAGGATAAATTACGCATCTTCCAATTTAGCAATCACTAACGTACATATGTTAATAGTACATTCGATTATGTACCAACATCAATTCCATCAATGGCAATAATAATTAACAATTCGTTTAGTAAACATTATAGTCAGATTTCTCAGAGATATAACTTAATGTCTAGCGATCGAGAAAGAACACATTCATTTAGAAGTTTAGAGAAACGTTCAGCTTCGACATTATTTTATTAACGAGCGACACGCGAAAACACCACTTTTTCTCTCTCTCTCTCTCTCTCGTGTTCTATTTCCTTAAAAGACCAAATAACTTTTCTTAAGTAGATACTCCAATCTCTTTCAGGTTTTTTTATTTCTTTTCTTATATGATTTTCTTTTTCTAGATAAATGTTTGAAGTACCTTCACAAGTATTAATGTACGCGTTTCTCGGATTTTAATCGTAATAGTGGACATTTACAACACGAAGCAAAATATCGTCCACTTTCGATTAACAACCAAACGATGCTCGTCTCCTTTAGTCTTTTTAAATCGTGAAAATTGGTGGAATTTTTATTAATCTTTCTTTTTTTCTACGTTAGGAGAACATAGGCGCGCAATCATCTCGTAATCGTATCATATCGTATCGTATCGATTTGCGCCGATGATAACAAAAATCGATAAATCGACGAAAGCTATACACTCGCACAGTTTTGCTCTTTTATACAAATTTGCAATCTACAGGAAGGAAGGAAGGAACCACGGCTGAAACACGGTTGTATTGTAATAAAACGCGATCGAAACGCGCTAGTGCCCCCCTTTTTTTTTCCTTTGCTTTTTTTTTTTTTTTTTTTGTTTTTCAAAACGCAGGAAATTTATTCGCAAGGGTTTACAAAGGGCATTTATTCTTATAACGATTAACGATACGTTCAGGTATAGTACAAGGGAGAGGCAACAGGAAATGACCTCCGATGATACATTAGATTTCCAACAAGATTTTCTTAAGCTTCGAAACAGGCAGTAATTTGTAGGACTATCGCAATTACGTACCACGAGTGAGACAGACTTAACTTAAGACTTAAAGGGTTACACCAATTTGCTTCTCTAGGGCGAACTAACATGAAAAGAACATTTTTTCACCCGAATTTCAAGTATTAACAATTTTTTTTTTTCTTTTTATATTACAACTAAATGCATTAATATGAATATCTTTACATATAAATTATTACAACGTATTAAAAAATGACAAAAATATAAATTGTTTTGTGAGAAGCTTTGTGAAAACCGTTCAACCGATTTCAATGAAATTTACACATCACATCTTCTTTATACTATTATTTAAAAAATAGAAATTTACTTTGATAAAACAATTTTCTTTTTATGGTAATTTTCCATAGAGCACCAAGGTGGTGTAATCCATTTAAGTAAATCGGCATTCATCTAAGAGTTTTAAAGATAAAGATTCATTTTCTTTTTCTTATTATAATTATTTTTTGTTCTTATTTTATTTTTTTCTCCTCTCTTTAAAAACAACGTTCATATTTGCGTCGTTAGTACGATTAATCGCAAAGGGAAAGAAATGTTATTTTCTTTTTTTCAAGACATTATTATACAGTTAGTTAACGTTACAATAAAATCCAGAATATTGTAGACCGAAAGAAACCAGGGGATTTACTTTTATAATTTTGCACGGTTCGTTCTCTTTCTTTTTTTTTTTTCTTTTCGCGAATGTGTTAACTCACTTTAAACTCGTTCTTCAAACGTTTTGTTCGGTTTTCCTGGTGGAAAAACCAAACGATATGTTTCTATCGCGTTTCCTCGCATTCGATCCCCCTTTTCCAACCCAGTCTACTTCTTTAACTTTGACCATTTTCACTCGCGTCGCGTTTGTTCTCAACGATTTTTTCACAATATCGCATTTAACAACGAGTGACCCTTTTTCTTTTTTTTTTTTCTAAGTATAAGTTATTCTGGTTGCACGATTGAATTTTTTCTTTTCTTTTTTTTTTAATTGCGTCTACGTATTCATTTTGTTTACTTACATCGACTAGACGAATTGTACAGTGTACCGTAATAAAAGTTGGATAAACTTTATGTACTATTGATTTGTATAAAATATCTTCCATGTTTTAAAGGTATGTACATTACGTAAATTACGCGACGCTCTGTGTATGTGTTTTAATTCTTCTTTCTTTTTTTTTCTTTTCGTATAATTATTATTCGAGTGTATTTATTATTTATTTTTTTCCCTTCTTTTTTCCATTTATGGGGCACGTGCGTGTGTCTGTATATATATACACTTTTCTTCATCGAACTGTACATATGTATATTTATATATGTACACACACACGCAGGCACATACTACTACACACACACGTATATATATATATATGTGTAGAACATTCATACGCTAAATTTCACCACGCGTTCGTTCATACATGCAATACTTGTTCTCTCTTTCTCTCTTTTCTTTTATCTCGAGTAACGTACACACATCTATCGACGCAGTTATCAGTTTCAAAGTCTTCCTTTAATATAAAAAGGGCACTTGATTCAAACATAGGTCATTAAAATGGTGATGTCATTTAAGAAGGGGTAGAAAATAAATTCCGTTTTAAAGTAAAAGGGTGGGGGGGAGGGGACTCGTATTTTGAACTCATACGACGTGCGTCACATCATGCACTTTTCCTTTCTCTCTCTCACTCAATCTCTCTCTCTCTCTCTCTCTTTCTCTCTCTTTCTCTCTCTTTCATTCTTTCTTTCGTATTTCTTTCGCAAGCGATAAGATAATCAACAATAAATTTTATTCTTTTCTAATATATCTCGGTGTAGTAGTTTCCCTACAGTGCATTAATTGCAACGTCACACCGAACTTTCTCTCTTGGCCATGACAATGGGCGTAGTTACGGTCGTTTCTTTTTGCGATTGGACGCAACATTGTGCAGGAGCTCTCGTTTCGATGTCCTTGGATAAAAGTGTGCATGTACTCGGACAGGTCCTACCGACTACCCCTAAACCTGAGTAGAGCATCGGTGGACTCATCGTCATCGATTGGACACTCTGAGTCGGCCAATGTTGTCTCGGTAAAGTGCATACCCCATCGTCGTACACGCTTCCGATAATTGGCTGGAACTGAAGAAGAATTTCAATATTGTATAATATATTTTAGTTTTGTTATTTAGTTTTCCTTTAATACGTTCCGTGCCACGTGTGTACCACCGATAGTACACGCAGTCACATTTATTTAATACGCTAGATATCAAATGGTCTGAACGACGAGTCAGACAAAAGTGGCTTGGCACGGAACGTGTCAAAGGGAAAGAACAACAACAAAAAGAAAGAAAGAAAGAAAATGTTGCTTACGCTTTTATGTTTGGTAGATAAATTTGAAAACTCGTGCAGGGGCATCCCATTGCGAATGGTGCAGTAACCAACGTAACTGGCGTGGCTCGTTAACGAAGTTAAGGTCGAGTGTTCCAAGAGACTTCTCGATGGGGAAGTTTCGATCGTCGATACCAATCGTCTTTTTCTTAAATATTCCGAGGGCTCGTCGCCTGACGAACAAAAATTGTCATGATTCGAACGAACATATTTGAATATTCGAAAATAAAAAAATAATATAATCTTCGTGTTCAATCTCAAATATATATATATATATATTTATACGAACCGGTGATTTGTTGCGGTATGATGTCCGGATTTTTCTCGTCGCTTTCGCTTAAATCACCGCTGGTATCCAATTTCCTGAACGGACTACCTGGATGTTTTTCATCGGCAAGAAGACTACTACCTTCGCGGAACCTCAATTCCCGTTGTATCGGCGCAGGTTTGCTTTGCTTCCCGTGCTCTTCCATTTGCGATTTACCACGTTCCTCGACATTCGTATGTTGGATCCTCAAAACGATCATAACTATTATCGCGACGATTACCAATGCCGTTACAACGCCTATCATGACGCTCAGCATCGGTGTTAATCTTACATTTTGACGTGGCCTTTCTGAAAAACCCAACAACGATTGATTTCGCGTCAATATTTCTTTTCCCTTTTTATTATCGAGGAGATGAGAAAAAAGGAAATAGGTAGAAACAAATTAACAGTTAATTTCAAAGTTATATACCTACAAATATATATATTTTAACAACGTTTGTTTTCCACCGTTTCTCGCAATTGATTCGCTAGCGTGTCGGGGAGCTCGGGAGGGTGCTGGTGGTGGTTGTTGAAAAAAAAGAAATGAGAAAAATCTAAAACAGAGCGTGCATTTACCTGACTCGGATGTTAATTGTTTTTCAGGTAGCCTCAACGTTCCCGCTTGCACGACCATCGCTTCGCTGCGCCCTTTATCGTTGTACGCGTAAATGCACGCCTGATAAAGAGCACCGGACTCGAGTTGAGCGACGCTGAAACGCGGCACCGTGGATGTTAAATTTGCACGCAATTCCTGGCTGTTGCTCTCCCTCACCTCGAGAAGAAAGGATTGCGGTAAGCCACCGTTGAAACCCTCGGTGCATCGCACCGAAAACGAGTTGGTCGATGTGTTAGAGGTGGTACAATTGTGCACCATATCCGGACGACCTGTCGTTGATAGATAAAGAGGGAAAGATTTAAACGTATAGTTACGGTAAATCAACTTAACTATTAATTTATTATTGCAAATTTTTTCGAATCCTTTGATTATATATATCTGTAAATATATATCTTTCCCCTATCCTTTTACTACCTGGATAAAGGAAGTGTTAAATAAAACACGTTCGACGATTCTTTAGGAAGGTGCAGAGCAATATCTTAGGTGGCTTAACGAGCCTGACAAAAGGAATGCAAATGCCCATTGTTCCTTTGGGTGCATACCTCTTTCGCGCTATTTTTCCAAGCTTACCTTTCGAAAATATAGCCCTGGTGTAAGGGTGGAAGGAAGGTTGTGGGAAGAAGGGGGGGGCAGCGGGGCAGGGGAAAGGTAGGATGTGTCGCGTGGCCGAGAAAAGGAAAATATTTCTCTTTTCTTGTCTTTTTTCCCTTGTTTTTCTTTCTCTCTCTTTCTTTCTCTCTCTTTTTTTTTCCTTTTTCTTTTTCTTTTTTCGAAAGAATATCCTCTCGACGCGGTACGGTGTGCGGGGCTTGCGGAGAGAAGAGAAGGAGGGTGCCCATAGTACGCCGGAAATGCGGTTGTTCCAGATAACAAAAACCGAGGATAGAGAGAGAAGAATACTTTCCTTCTACCCACGGTGAAAAATCGCGAGCGATGAATATTTTTTTTGTCGGCTAGAAGTGTACACAGACCAACGTTGCTTTTATCTTTTCTACCCACGAAGAAAATAATGATAGCGATTTTAAGTTTGATTTTCCAAGTTGCGCGTCGCGTATAGTAGTCCGACGGTAGTATTCGTTTGGATTTCGAGAAAATATCGATTTTAAATTCGACAGAATATTGTATACTAAAAATAAAAAAAAAAAGAAATAAAAATGAAATGCGCGAATTTATTCAATAATATAATGTAATACATATATAGGTATATATATAATATATTTTATATTAGAAAAGTTTGACTAGATAGGAAAATTTCGTACGACAAAAGAAAAAGTAACGGATATGACCTTTGTGTTCGATTTTCTCGGTTTCGAAACGCCAACGGCGATATTCGATATTCGATTATCGAGAGGTCTTTCGATTTTCGTGATCGTTCCTGCATAAGGATAACTCACCGGCGGGTATAATGTGATAGACGCAAGGCACTTGTTGATGCCCTATACGATTCGTAGCCCAACATAGCAACGTTCCGTAATCTAATTCCGTCATCGGTGTGTACGAAACGATCGAGGATGTGCCTGCTCTGGCGATATGGCCAGCGGCAACGTCGATACTCTCTGCAGAATTGTTGAACGTCCACCGGAACTGCACTTCCGTAGGATTTGCTTCCACTTGGCAGGATATGTTCGCCTTTTCTTGTTTAGCAACACCGTGAAATTTCGTTTGGTTCGGCTTGCAAGTTGGCGCGACTGTCAACAAAAATTTTAATCTCTCTAGAATTGTAATCTACGTATATGTGTATGTGATGTATATATATTTATATATATGTATGTATGTGTGTGTGTGTTTATCCGTTGATTTACTACAACTACATTTATTCGCTAAATGCAAATTAACGCGAGAAAGTAACGCGAATAGATTTAACCAAAATTATGTCCAAACGTGTACCATTAATAATTTAATAAGCAAAATTTATCGCAAAATTCCAATATCCTTGTCGACGCCGTCACATCCTTTAACGTGTACTGCTTTTATAGGAGGAGAGAGAACTTGATAATAATTCAAACCAAATAAGCGGACATGTTTGTTATAAATTTATAATGGATAGATAACGGGACTTATGTATAGATATATAATATATATATATAAATATTGGTTGGATTATCAAAGCATGGGATTTCATTTTCATATTTATAATCGATTGAGAGTCAAAAGATTAATGACGATCGAGAGTTCGCTTTACGAACAAATTCCCATCGCAATCGCTTTTATTTCACAGTGATATAACGTTATGTTACACATTGCACAGGGGGAATGAACATTTCGTTGAAATTATTTTCCACTGTTACTTTTACTTCTTTTTCGGTGTAAGGTAATAACAACGTACTACGAGTGTATAACGTAATTAGGTATTTGGTATAATGTCACCGATGCAACTATGGAACTGTGACACGCAACGTAACTCAGATGCGCAAAACCGAGGACATACAAATTCGCGACACTTGTCTGAACTCGTCGTATGTATTATCTACTCATGTATCATCTAGTTTGTTTGCGTGAATGGTGTGTTTGCGCAAATATAATACTCACACATGACGTTCAAATAGAAAGGTGAGCTCTCGCCGTCACCCTCGACGTTGTAACCAACGCAAGTGTAATTACCAGCACTCTTACGGTCGACTCCTTGGAGTACCAAACTTTGGTTACTGATTATGATACCTTGCATGGCGTTGTGATAAAGTGGTTTTCCCTTAACGAATTAATACACGATTTTAATTAATATATAAAATTAGAAAAGATAATAATTAAAATTTGAATTTCACGTTTATACGTATTTTTTAAATCTAATATTATCATCTTCCATAAGTAATACGCGTGTTATTTATTTCTTTATTTTTTCCTAAGTTGGTCATTTGCAAAAAAATAAAAAAGAATAAAAAAAAAGGACACGCTTCTACGTTGCGGTACAATTTATTAGAAAACTTGAACGCATCGTAAGTAGAATTGATTTTGCAATGCAGGAGACGGTGTAAGGATTTTCTTGCTTCTTCGAGAAAGTTGTTTGACTCGTGCGTACTTCGTTATAGTACTCAAGAACGGGAATCAATTTTGCAAAGTCTCTACTAGGTTATATTAAAATTTCGTTCGTGAATACTAAAGATATTTTTAGTTTTAAATTAAGTAAGACATATCTTTCATTTTTTTCTCTGTCTCTCTCTCTCTCTCTCTCTCTCTCTCTCTCTCTCTCTCTCTCTCTCTAACTTTTTCCATTCGGTGCAAACTTTTATTTATATTTTATTCTACTAAAACGAACATCACAAAATAAAAGTATAAATTTTGTTACCTGATGACGCCACTCAACTTTGGTAACCGGCGGCTCGGCTTGTATCAAACAATCAAAGTAAACGTCCGTGCCTTCTCGAATCGTGCTAGGATTCAATGATGTACCCAATTGTATTTTCGTTTCCGGTGTATCTGTAAATACCGATTGATCGAATTTGAAATCCTCGAGTAACGTTGTGTGACCCCAAAAAAATAAAGGGAAATAAAGAATAGAATAAGGATTATTACTCTGTTACTTTTCGATCAAAAAGGAAAAGCAAAAGGAAAAGGAAAAGGAAAAGGAAAGAAAAAAAATAGGAAAAGAAAGGAAAGATAAAAGAGAAAATATTCGCGAGTGATTTCGTTCGCGTTTGTCAATAACGATGAACATCCCTTTCAACGTCCCACAGGGTAGATAAAATAGGTCGTTAATACTCTTACATTGTATCTCTAGTATCCAGTCGTCTTCTATCGGTGCTTTTCCTATGATCGAATTTTCAGCTCGGCATGACAAGTGTCTACCGGCATCTGCTTTGGTTGCCATAAAAGATAAGACGCTGGTGGTCGTGTTCCCATCGCTCGAAGTCTGTAACAACGTCAACCACAACTTTTATTCATCTTTATTCTTCTTCTTCTTCTTCTTCTTCTTTTTATTCTTCTTCTCTTTTCCTACTTCTTTCTTTTCTTTTATTTGTTCTATCTTCTCTTTCATATTTTATTTACATTTTATTATCTTATATTTGTTCCATTTCCTTCCCCTCCAATCTGTTATCAACCCCTCTTAACCTTTTAGCTAACATTCTTCCGTCATATGAATTATACATATATCAAAAGCTTATCTGTCATCGAAACGTAGGGACTAGGGGGGGGGGTAGAATATTCGAACTGGAGTCAAAATCTTTTCGATCGATTTGTACGTATTTTTTTTCTTCTCTTATTATCGATGAGAAAAAGAGAGAGAAAAAAAAGAGAGAGAGAGAGAGAGAGAGTGGGGAAGGTGTGGAGGGTGRGGGGGGGGGGGAGGAAAGATGAAGAAGAAAAGACGCTGAATCTTTTTCAGCCAATTTCATTGTGGCGGAAGTGCATTTTTCCGCTTCGATCGTCGCGTCTCAGCCGAATCGATAGCAAGCTGCTCCCGATAACACGAAGAAGGACTACGTCGCTTCAAGACTACGTGGCAAGGACGCGAAAGGGATTACGTGTGATGGATGGAAGGAAGTCGTTTCAAAAGCGCTTATTTTTTTTTCTTTTTTTTTTTCTTCTTTTTCTCCTACCGGCGTATATATCTATCCTCGACGAATTTTTGATCGACCTAAACTACGACTACCATGTTACTACTACTACTACTATTACTATCACCTATCTGCTCATTTCTGCATCTTCTTATTTCGAACTTCTTCCTTTTCACGTGACGTCGCGAGATCATCCCGGAAGGGAAGAGAAGTTTTTTTTCTTTTTTTTTTTTTTTCTTTCCGATCAGCAGCAGGGAAGATGCATATTCTTCTTCTTTTCCTTTTCTTTCTTTTCTTTTCTTTTTTTTTCTTTCGTTTTCCATTTCTTCCACCCCCTCTCTTTCTCTCTCTCTCTCGCCATCGGTTAATCCGACAAGACGATATAAATATTTGAGATGTCGTATGGGGAAACAGACAGAGAGAAAGAGAGAGAGAGAGAGAGAGAGAGAGAGAGAGTGAGAGAGAGGAAAAAAAGGAAAAAAAGATGTTACTAAGTTTTACTCGAATCGGGAATTACTTAAAAGGAAATATTGTTTCAGACTTGATACACTTTGTGGCGTAACAGTTTGTTTAGTTACTTATATAAGAAACTTAAACAAAAGGGGGATAGATAGATAGATATATATATATATGTGTGTATGTATAGAGTAATGGACCGTCCGATGGAGCGTGATAAGTGGTGATGCGAAATGGCCGAGAGGAAATATCGGTGGCAAACTATAATCTATAGGTAGAGTGAACGTAGGGATAAAAGGAAGGATAAGAGACTCATTTTTTTCTTTTTCGTTTCTTTTTACTTTGTACAACGTGCTAAGTTAAATACCGAGTATTTTATCGTACTTTTCTATTTTGTCTTTTCTTCTCCTTTCTGTGACATAACTCGACGATGTCGAATAAAAATTTCCGATCGTTTCTCTCGGTACGTAGAAAAGAAATAAGATATTTATATTTATTAACGACATATTTAAATGAATTCTTATCAAACGTAATTTTTGTAATATTTAAAGATAACGAGATCACGATTGCACTTGAAATCGCGACTAATCATTCGTAAACATGGAGTAATTCGCGGCGCGGTGGCGGCGGCGTATCAATTAATTAAAAGCAACACCGGCAAGCCGACTGTCACGCATCAATTTAGCTTAATTACGTGCTCACTAGTATGGTAGGTAGGTAGGTAGGTAGGTAGGTAGGTAGGAAGGTATCCATGGGGTTGGTTGGTTGGTTGGTTGGTGGCCCGTCCGCACGCGCACGAGCTAGCAAGCTAGCAGCAGCTAGTTGTTGCAAAGTTGAAGGGAGAAGGAACAACGTGAACGATGCGATGCAGTGCGCTTCACCGCGTCCTGCCCTGCCCTACCCTGCCCTGCCCTGCCACGGTGCGGTGCAGTTCGGTGCGGTGCAGTGCGGTGCAGTACGGTGTTATCGCGTCAGTGGCTTACTTTGATTTAAATTACCTCGGGCTCTTAACGACGCTTTTACCGGCGGCTTAAGCCACGGCACGAGCTCATGATAACGATATCTCACACGCCATTTCGACGAATACACGCTAAGCTAATGCGCGCGCGAGCTACCTTCGTTGGTATACGCAAACGTAAGTTGTTTCCCGTTTGACGGTTCGTGTGTAACAGGCGTGCATTAGACGCGTACTCGAGGTTGTTGCTGCGAATGAGAAACCAACAAAGAAAAGGGAACGAGGAGTGACAAAATTACAAATTATCTGGGAATCTCTTTTATACCCGGCCGATCCCGTAGAAATCCGATTTTGAAAAACGTTTTCTTAAACCACCCCTCCACCCACAAAACAACGCTCGATAGACCGTCTCTCTCTTTTTCTCCGACTCTTACACTCCCACCTCCCCCCCCCCATGTCAGTCATCTTATAACAAATTTCTTTCTCTCTTTTTCCTTTTTACCCCATCCCCCCTGCTCCCCCCCTTTCCCATCGTTCTCGTCTCCTTCCGTTCTAAAACTATTTCGTCGATTTGAAAGTTTTCGTGGTTGGATTCTACGTATCGTAGTAGGAAGAAAACGTTATATTCCTTTCACACACGGTTTCCGTTTCCTTACCGTTTCCTCGGAATCCACTAAACGTTGACCGTTTCTCCACCAGGTCATAGTCGCCGGTGGTCGCGAACCGGAAGTCCTGCAGACGAGCTCGTACCTTTTGCCGGCCGATAACGGCTGGTTGGCGTCCTTTATTTTTACTTCCAAAGGACTGACTGAAACATTTTTCAATATATCATTTCTTTTAACAATATTTTTTGTTTTTTCTTTTTTCTCTAAAAAACAAAAAAATAGTATCCTTTCGTGTTATTTCGACTTTAAAATCTAGCACAAGAGGCAGCGTGTATTTATACATTTTAATACATTTAATCGAGAACGCGAGGTGGAACTTTATAAATCTTTTTTTTCTTTTCTTTTTTTTTTCTTTTTCCTTTTTTCTACACCTCCCCCACGGCAACTTCTCCTTGCTAGTCGAGATGTGGTAATAAATTTCTATAATTGCGATGTAAAGATAAATCCTATCTCTCGCGTATATACCGTAGGAACATGTAATTAAAACATTTTATATGATACCTTAACGTGATAAAATATTATATATATATATATATATTTTTTTTTTTTATAAGAAAATGATATTCCAGTGTAAACACGATCGTTTGTATTTCGTAATAAAACGGGATTGATGGAATATGCTGTTTGATAAGCATTGATATTAAAATTCTTGATATGTTAATGTATTTGAATTAACCCCTTGCAATCGAAGCTTTTTTCTCTTGCGCGAACCAGCAACTCGAGACGATTTCGATCTAAATTAGGGAAACATTTTACAAGTACTTTAAAATCATTTATTAACAAACAAACGTATACAGATAATACAATTTCACCAATTTATTTATTTTTATATCGAAAACAATAAAATTTGATAAAAATTGCACACTGTAATTAGTTTTCGTGTGATATTTTGTTCCTCGAGTTGACAGTTCAAATCAAGCAATTTCAACAAGCGAATGCGCAAGCGCGGACGCAAACGCATGCGCACAAGCGAAATGCGCAGGAGCAGGCGCAGATGCATGCGCACCAGCGAAATACGCACGCATTCTTCCCACTCTGCTGGGCCCGTTGCACAAACGCGCTTTCTATTTTTTGGCTGGACGCATTTTAGGCAACAGAGAACCGTCGAAGAACCCCATATATTTCCCCATACAATTGAATTAAGCCTATAAGCTTGCCGAAGACGGCAAAGCAGGCGAGAGGTGAGACACGTATCCAACCAAAGGTTGGACACCATTCGTTATTGTATTTGATATAACATCCAAGGTTTTTCTTTCTTTTCCCTGCCGAGCCACAATAAAATATTTATTATTTTAATTTAATCTTTATCTTTCTTATCATTAGTTTATTAGAATCACCATAGAACTTAATGTTGGAGGAATCTGTGTATATACATATACTTTAAAATTATAATTATTATTAATCAATATTAAAATGATAGAATTAAATTAATTATTATTTGTATTTATTAATTGTAAAAAATAGTCGTTTGATCGGTTAAGATCTGAATAAGTATACTTAAGAGGAAAAAGTAGTATATATACTTTCATATAAAAATTACCGATCAGATTTACACGCGAATATTTATAATTTATCATTAACGCGTAATTCGTATTAGATATTAATAATTGTTAAATTAATTACGAGTATTGTTAAGCGTAGTATTGAAAGAAAAAATAAAAAAGAGAACAAAAAACCAAAAACAAGGTAAATAATGAACGAATCACGTTATTTTTACAGATGAAAATAATTATAACAAATTATAAGTGAAGCAATTAACTTACGGATATCTTGGTTTTGTCTCGTATTTTTCGAGAGAATCGTTCCCCGTAGGATAATCAATCCTTTCTCTTTCTCTCTCTCTCTCTCTCTCTCCCTCTCCCGTTTTTTCTTTCACATTGTTCTCTCTTTCTAACTTCTCTCTTCGCGATAGCACCGTGTAACCGAGAGAACGGTGCTATACTGCGACAAATTGACGTTGATAAATTCTCTTTGTTATAAAGCTATACATCATTGGTGTGCTATTGCGTCGTAGCTGCGAAGGCTACGAACGAGAATCGAGTTATTCGGAAAATTGTCCACCATCTTTGCTCGAGTTCTCTTTGCCTGTTGGAACGTTCACCTTTATTTCTTCTCTCCTTCTATCATCCTTTTTATATATCTATATACACGTAACTGTCCGGTTGCCTGTCCATCTTCCTTTTCCCTTCTAACAATCTTGAAATTCTTTGCACGATAAAAGAGGAAATTTTTGTCAGTGGAATGGACGAGAAAGAACCGTTCGTTCACTGGCATTTATATAGTTTAGCATGTTCTTTGTACATAAATACATACATACATACATATCATACATATGTAACTGATAAACAGATACAAATACGTATTCCATCGGTATATTTCCTTTCTTTTTATTATACATCCATTTGACTCGAAACATTCATACAAAATTAAGATCGAAGGTGCATATAAGTATTCCCATTCGACATTCGCCATTTTGACTTCGCTTTGAATGGCCTTTGACGGCACTTCGACGTCCCTTTGACTGCCCTTTGACAGCCCTTTGATTGCCCACTGACAGCTCTTTGATGGCCGCGCGTAGTTCGAACACGATCAGGTCGAATCGGGATTTTGAACATTTCCTTCGAAAATATGGGAAACGGTTATACGAGAAAGAGAGAGAGAGAGAGAGAGAGAGAGAGACGCGCTTAGAATATTTCTCTTTAATGTTGAATGGGAAGAAATATCTATTATGTAACGTCCGAACGAGCTTGATTAAAAAAATCGGTTTCGAAAGTTAACGTATAGGTGTATGTATAAATGTACGATTGATGATGAATAATGAATGATTCCAATGATTAATCTCAACGTTACCATCAGATTTTTCAACTGCATTTTCTTCTTTTTTTTTTCTTTTTTTTTTTTTTTTCTTTGAATAAACCATTGGAAAGCTGTAGAACGTATATCGAAATTAAAAAAAAAAAAAAAGAAGAAAAAAAGAACACGTATTTCTCGTCGAAAAGCAAAACCACGATGTTACTCGATGAGAAAGATAACGAAAAGAGACCGAACCAGAAGAGAAATAGAAAAATAGGAGAAAGAGAGAACGAGAGATAGAAAGAAATGTGTTAAAATAAACCAAGTATATAATAATGTAGGTTGTAGATACATTTTTAGAAGGAACGAGATTGAGTCTCATGGGTGTCGAACATTCTACGGTAGTTCCATTTGTGTAGCAGGCAACAGCAGCAGCAGCAGCAGAAGCAGCAGTCTCTAGGACGTGACACCTACGAGAATAAGAGATAAGTTCTTGGGGAAGAAGAAGACAAGGGAAAATTGGATGGGAAGTGTCATTTTCGATGAAGGTAGGAGAAGGAAAGCGTGAAGCGTAACCGAAAGAAAAATAACGAAAGGAAATGATGAAAGGACCGGAAAAAAGACTATATATATATATATATATATATATAGAAAAAGGGAATAAGGAGTCAGAAAAAGGTGTGAGATAGTAATGGAAGTTGGTGAGGGGTTGGGTGGGTGGTTAGGCTGCTGCATGTCGTGTACAACGAACGAACGAACGAACGAACGAACGAACGACGACGACGACAACGGGGACGGGGTTGGGGTTTGGGTTGGGGGGAAAGGGGGAATACGTCGTAGTAGGGATCGGCTTAGGAAATCTATGCATGGCTAATGGTTATCGATTTTCAAGTGTACGTCGCATCGGTGCTGCCGACAGAACGGCTCGACGATAAACAAGCGCGGTTCGCGTCGCGTATAACGAGGCCGTTCATTAATCCGCGATTTCGGCTAGCGTGGGATTTGTCACGCGTATTATACAAACACCCGGTGTGGTACGTATCCCGTTTTAGAGTGTGGTTTGCAGGTGAACGTGAACGTGTATGTGTGTGTGTGTGTGTGTGTGTGTTAGAGATTGGTCTCGGTACAGATTGGGTAAAGGTACGAGAAGACTGTGTACATGTATATGTGTGCGTGCGTGTGCGAAGGGGGGAAATGCTTGTGAGGTGCAAGGGCGGGAGAAAGGGGGGAGGGGGTAGAGAATATGCGGGAAACCTTGTTCCGAAGCACTTGTTCTACCTCGTACGTGCCTCTGCAGCGTGCTTAAAATTTAGGACAGCCTACCACTGTATCGTGTATGAGCCCTGTAAAAGTGGTAAAAACCTTTTGTTCGAGATTAGGCCCTATTGCTTACGGAAGGTCTCTCCCTCTCTCTCTCTCTCTCTCTCTCTCTTGCTCTTTTTTGCTCTCTTTATGCGAAAGCAAATTTTGCTGATATGCCAGACCTGATTTTTTTTTTCGCGAGAGTGCTCGTAGAGAAAAAAAAATATGTGAAAGCTTAGTACAAGTGATTAAGTAAAGGTTACACGAAACGTTATTTTCCGAAATTGCCTATCTAACGTGATGCTCGACGTTATAACGATCTTATGTTGGATATAAATAGAAATTTGTAAGGTCCAAGGATATTTGCTTGTACTCACGGGATATGGGGGTTGGGAGGGTGGATACGTATTTTATGGCTGGAATTGGGCACAAATGTGCGAAAGATTATTTTGGATGCGGCGTTGGGTTGGTTGTTTAGATCGATACGGAACCAGGAATGTTATCGTCCCTTGTGGAAACTCTCTCTCTCTCTCTCTCTCTCTCTCTCTCTCTCTCTCTCTTTCTCTTTCTCTCTGGCAGATAAGCAGGCGTGTACGGTTACGCGAGTAATTCTCTACGCTGTTCGAATTACCGTGGAAACGTTGGATAATCTGTAACTACGAGTTAAATCGTGCTTTCACGCTTTATGAGAATCGCGTCCATCTTTCCCTTTACCTACCTACCTACCTACCCTACCCTACCCTACCCTACCCTACCTACCACCAATCTATACCTCTCTTGCTCTCTCCGTATAGATTCGTTTGTAATCTAATCGTTAAACCGTGTTGGAAGGACTTCTCTCAGTAGTTTGTCGTCTAACGAGTAGGTCGAACGTATGTTATTTCCAAACAATTGATTATCCTTACAAAGGGTTTTCAGATACTCCAATATCTTTCCTCGTACATGTACAAGTTAAGTATGGGTATTTAACTAACTTACCAAATAATATCTCGTGTTCAATTTCGATTTGACGTTTCTGGATAGATATATACATATATGTTATCTCTTT